TATTAGCATTATAAAAATGAAATAAGAGCCAGATATATAAATATCTAAACTAAGACTATAAAAGAAACATAAACCTTTTGTAGAACAATCTCCATCCAAAGAAAACATTGTTTGTTCAATGTGTTGAAAACATTACAAATCAGGCAGAACATGTTATGGTGAGATCTGTGTAATTAATTTTGTTTCAGTTTCTTTCCTTTACTATATTTTATAAAGTCAAGATGAAAAACATGTAGTTTGCTTGGAGAAGTGGATAGTTTTCAGAAACTAATGTTTACTGGTCTTTCATGTTGGTGTTTTGCTAATCAAGTTGAAATAGAATGTGAAATGTTTTTACTTTGGAAAAGCACATGAAGTCCTTTTTGCAACAATTTTTAAACATCAAAACACATTTTATGAAACATTGAGTCTTTGGGTTATGATTGAAATAGGCAAGAAATAGGTTCTTCTCTTATTTTCTTCAACTGTTTTTCAAAAAGCATGGATGATCTAATTCAATTTCTCTGAAACTGTACATTTATGAAGTGTAATGCCAACAATCTGATCTTTCCTCAAGTTATAAGTTGTGACATGTTTGAAAACTAATAATGAACAGCTTTGGTATGATTGTTGATCTTAGTACTCCATCTCTCCAACCAATCAAGCTTAAGTTTAGACTTGGATGTCTTCAGTGCCTTCGTCTCACCTAGACTTCACCCAAATGGTAATAGAGCTGCAACAAAAACTCAAACCAACTCTCTGAGATGAACATAAGATGTTATTGTGATTTGCTTTCCTTTGGTCGAGCTAATGTATTTTGCAAGAAAGAGCGCATTACAAAATATCACAATATCTAACTTGATAATTAAGTTGCTTCTTTAAGCATGTAAATCTGGAACAGCAAATAGATATATGTTTTGTGTCTTCATTTTGTGTCAGTTTTTTTAAAAAGTTTTATTTTGTAACTAAAACCTACAAGAAGAGTTTTCATACTGATCTATAATACGTACTGCATTTAGGAGTGATGAAAAAATAACAGCACATAAAGAGTTAAACACATAAAAACATTACAGGGAGCTAATATTAAGCACATTCACAAGTCAATAATGATTATTGCCACAATGAGTACTTTATGATATCTATTTAAATTATGGGGCGGTTGGGTAGCCTTGTGGCTAAAGCGTTTGCTCGCCACACCGAAGACCCGGGTTCGATTCCCGACATGGGTACAATGTGTGATGCCCATTTCTGGTGTCCCCTGCCGTGATATTGCTGGAATATTGCTAAAAGCGGCGTAAACCATACTCACTCACACTCACTTTTTCAATTATGTGTAGCTTTTACCATGTGTCGTTTCTCCTGCCATTATAAACAACGGCAATATACTCTAGGTGTAATTTTCAGTCTCACCAGGGTTGTTTTCCACCTAGTGCACACTGAGGTATGTTTGTTTGTTTGTTTGTTTTGTTGTTCAACACTACACTTAGCAATATTTCACTCTGAACTAGACAATCCAGGGATTATCATCATGAGTATCGATCTATACAATTGGGATATGATGACATGCATCAACCAAGTCAGCAAGCTTGACCACCTGATCCCGTTAGTCTTCTATTTGGACAAGCATAGTTGAAAACAAATTTTACTTTTATTGTCGATTAAATGTTGGTTATTTTGCACAACTGTGTGTGTGTTCCTTGCCACCAAAGTCAATGTCCAAACGGGGAGAAGCAGTGTCAGAAATAACTGCCTGCCGGCTTGCCTGCAAGCCCGTGGCTGGTAACATTTCTGTTGGGCTGCTTGAAATTTTCCTCCACCTGCCCAACTATCTGGCAGATAATTTTATACGTAGTTAAGTCTTCAGTTTTATTATAACTCCTTGTTGATTCTCTAGTAATTGTTTGCATTATTTCATCTGAATCAAGATGCAATTTTTCTCTTATTTTTTGTGATTTTTCAATATTTATAATGTAGGAATGTGGGTAGTTAACTTTGAAGATGGACAGGCAACATTTATGGGTCACCTGCCTAACTGTTTTTTGTGTTGTAGAATTATTTCAAACACTGGGTGGAAGTAGGGTTGGGTTGGATGGGGTGTGTGTATTCCAATACATATGTACATGAAGTTCTTCAAAAATACATCTATGAGCCAGTTCTAGTGTGTGTGCTGTTGTATGTTTATGTCAATCGTATCATGTAATTTGTCCTTTGATCTATACTGAATAAACAATGTGTCTATTGAGTGACTGAATGTTATTTGATAATGCTGTCGATTAGCAATATTCCTGCCATATGACATGGGCCTGTAAATGATCAAGTCTAGACCAGACAAACCAGTGTCTGAAAGTATGCGCCATGATCCTAATTATTGGATGAAAATACACCCGATCAGTGAGTTACCGAGCCTGATGACCTGATACCCATTAATGGGGTGGCTGAGCGGTTCAGGTGTTTGCATGTTATTGTTATTACTGCTTCCATGGTCTAGTGGAAGAGCGTCCGCCCAGAGAGCAGAAGGTCTGGGTTCGAACCCTGGCCAAGTCATAAAAAAAAGACGTTTAAAGATGGTACTTGTTACCCTGCCTGGCGCTCGGCATTAAGGGGCTAAAACAAGGACTGGTCGGCTTGGAGTCAGTATACTGTGTCTGAGTGGGGTATTCATGTTAATCTGCAGCATAGTATCTCAGTGGGCTATCACTGAAAAATCAACATTAGTCTGGAAAAGTACAATTGCTTGCACGCACGCACGTACACACGCACGCATGCTGATCAGTTGTCAGACTCGGTGACTTGGTTGATATGGCATGGATCATTGGACACAATATCAATCATTGGATTGTCTGGTTCAGACTCGATTACTTACAGCTTGCCATCATATAGCAGGAATATTGCAGAGGGCGCCTTCAAGCAACAAAGAAACAAACAAATCTTGTGACAAGCACGTGGTACAGGGGTCCTGTTTTACCCAGAAACCCAACTTGGTGTCATTTAGGTATTGAAGCAGTGACTGTTGTAGAGTTAAGAAGGGTTTGTGAAAGTTGGAGGCAAAGGTCAGCATTGTCTGCTTGGATTGTTGAGGAACATGCTAGCTGTTGCAGAGTTGCTTCCACTAGTCATAACAGGGGCTCAGATTTGCCCCAGTTATCATCCTTGGTTTGTCAGCACCATGCTATTAGTTTCACCAAAGTGGACAACATCTACACCTGTTATCTTGGGCTTCCCCTCGCATTTGGCAGACGTGAAATGATTCAAGAAATAAACGACTCGTGGTCCTTGTTTATTGTACAATAAATATTTGCAGGGATAATAAACCAAGGGGGGTTGTGCCCCTCATGGTTTATTCTCCCTGTAGTGTTTTATTGTACAATAAACAACAACCACAAGTCGTTTATTTAGATATCAACATTATGGACAGCCTCTTTAAGAATGTTAGTAAAATGTAAAAGCTTTAAAAGTACACTACCCAAATTTTGATAATGATGACTCCCTAAATAAAATCCGACCTCCGAAATGTCGGACAAGTCCATTTTACGAACAGGTGGTTTCGTTTGGTATTTCCTGCATATTCTCACAATCCTCACATCAATTATCTGTACCTCTTCTCATAATACCGATTGTCATATCTCCTATTTTTGGATGCGATTGTTCGGCCACTGTGTTTATCTGCGTAGCTCAGCTACATCTAAGGGGAACAACTTACCAGACACTTACCTCTAGAAAAATAACATCGTCCAAAATATGATGTCATCAAGTTGCATTATTTTATTCATGATCTGTTCAACTGTATAGGCCAAGGGGCATTTTTCAGTGTTTATCTAAAATGTCAAAAGTAATTTATTTTGGGATGTTACGACTGCCATTGTCTTGAGTCCAATCTCAGACATGTCCTTACATGAGCTGTGAAAGAGTATGGCAATGTGAGACGTAGCTGACACTGTGTATCTGAATGATTGATGGCTTATGATTGTGCTGGGGTCGATGGGTAAAGGGCAGTTTTGTCAGACTGGTGATTATGGCTAGCATGGTTTGGTCATCCACATGTATATAACCTGTGAAATCCTTTGAAGGTTGTTATTGAGCACTTTCAAATGATATCCAGACCTACCATTATCATGTGACTTGAATAACCTGATAATAGTTTCCCATAATTTCCCATTTTGTATGCAATAGCACAGGGGACAAAAGGACAAGCAGACACACGCACCTGCATGCACCTTGCCATATAAGTACAATAATCTTGGATGCCATGTTGAACCCCATTTCACCTCACCTAAAGATTGCCTTGAATTTGTAACTTTGAATGTCTTGAAAGAGGCATGTGCCCCGTTCTTGAATCCTTAATAGTGTCAGAAACAGTTAGGAATTTGGTGAATTTAGACAGGAATCCTAACCGCACTTGGCAAATAGATAAGACTCAAGTCTCAAATTGACCTTGTATCACTCTCATGTAGTTTATCCAGCGTTCTAGAAACTGTCTCATCTCAAAACTTCTTGAATGATCAAGCTGTCCAGGGTTTGTCAACAATTAAGGGAGATAACTCTAACTCACACTTCCTGTTATAATCTGGCCACTCAGCAATAGATACTTTAGTCATTTGCTGACACTGACAATAACAAGATACATATCAATACCAGTTTCTACTGCCACATAACATGCTCTCCCTCCCCCTCTCCCTCAGCCCTCACTCTAATGAATACCCTTTTATTAATCAACATTAAATTACCACCTCCCCAGTGGGGATTCCAGGGTAGAATGGCCCCCAGCAACTGTCATAAGAGATGACCAAATTGACCACATGGTCAGGGTCGTTGACATGGTTGATTGTGTGTCATCATCACTACCCAGCAAGGCATTTTCAACATTGTATCAATCACTAGTTTGACTGGTCCATTCAGGTCTCTATCATATCAGTGGAATGTTGCTGAATGCAGCATTAAGCAATATACAAACACTGCCAATTTTCACACTTTATTTGCCTGAACTTTATTGTCCTAGACATAATAACTGGCTTGATTTTCAGGAAGAACTTGTGAGTGTTGTCTTCAACACTAAGGATCCTGGTATAGAATACCAAGGCTACCGGTACCAGTCCATACAACCTATTCTTCTCCCTAAGGTAGGACATGTTTCATATTTTCTGCATCACCTTCACACTTCTGCCGTTTCTGTGTGTTGAACATCGACAGGGACACTTGACTGTTGACAGTAAACATGGGAGAGACACAGTAAACATATTACACTGTAAACATCTACACTTTACTCAGTTGTCACAGCAACTGCCTCAATGGTCCAGTGGATACAGCATCTGCCCAGACAGCAGAAGTGTGGTGGTTTGATCCCCAGCTGGACCATACCAAAAGATGTTAAAAGATGATAATTGTTGTTACCTTGCCAGGTACTTGGCATTAAGGGGATAAAACATGGACTGGTCAATTTGCAGTATGCTGTGTCTGAATGGGGTATCATGTTCAACTGTTCATGGTATCTCGGTGGGCTAGCGCTATATAATCTGCATTAGACCAGACTAGAACAAGCAGCCACACACACACATGCATGCATGTAACTATATCAGTCTGTGCCAAACACTTTTGAGACTTCTAGCCCATAAACATGGCTCTCAGCATCTTTTCAGTAGATTTTAGTGTTCTCATATGGGCTATTATAAGCTAATGTCCTAGACCGAACAGAACTTAACTAGAGTCAGGCTTCGGACTAGTGGTGTAAGTCACAGACTGTTATAAAAGTGCAATAAATTTGAATGCGACATTAAACCCCATTTCACCTCTCCAGAAGACACAGTGCATACATGTAGAGGTCACAGTGAACACAGGAGACAGTGAACAGTGTCAGTATATTGTGATAGAAGGGTACTACAAGCTCAGTCTGTGAGTGAATCAGTGCTCTGTCACAAACATATCAGTGTATATCAGAGCTCAATCAAACGCATATTAGTATAATGTGTTGGAAAGGTTTCCCACACACCTAATAGTTCACCGTTTGTCATGATGCAAGGAGACAAATTGCATTACAGTACAAACACTTACATCATTTATACTTGAAGTGCCTTAATGGCACTGTCAGACAATGGTGAGAGATGCCTGTCACGGACGTCATGCTCCGAGCACGCAAAGCAAGCTGTTTTGTTTTGAAGACAAAACCCAAGTGACAGATTAACAATGATCAGTCATCTTGTTACCACAAGAACATCTTTGCTAATGTATATACCATCTGTGTCAAGAACTTTGTAAATATCAGAATACTACTGTTTTAATGGATTTGAAACATGCTTGGACTGATAAAGAAGTTGAAGAAGATGCTCCAGGAGAAGACACTTCATCTTGAAGGTAAGTTGTTTTGGTTACATGTAAAACTGTGAGTAGATATGTTGATATCCTTGTATACTGTGTTTTCCAGCCCCATGGAAGTATTTCTCATTATGTGTCTAATAACAATCCCAAACACTCAAATTAAGTCTTGCCTTGGATAATATTTATTTCTGTTAACACTTGGATGGTCAAATGACCATTTCTTGTTAATTTTATAGTGATAATGCATCACTGATCGAGACAAATCGATCATGTGCCATTTTGTTTCCATCACATGATTTCAAGCGCCTCCATAACAGTCAAGTTAAAAATAGATGCACAACATGATCAGTCACATGACATTACAGACAGGAAGTTTACAAACAGCACCAATACATCATCGGTACATACGATTGTTCTGATGCAAAATTATCACCAGATCAAGTTTTATTAAAATGTGCATTAGTGAAATAGAAAGGTTTGAGATATGGTTTCATTACTTATTGAATATCTCACCTTATGTAGTTTAATTCGCAACATAACTTCTGAGGCAATTCGGGAACACTTTGATGTCTTCGGTGAGCATCTATCTTGATTACGTCATTGAGTGGATGGTCATGTATTGTTTAGTGGCTCAAAAAGAGGTGCGGATAAAGAACATGTCACATGGGGATTCTATATTCAGTAAACACAAAATATTATATGGATTATAACTTTAAATTCTATTACGCTGTGACGTTTCGGTATAGATCCTTATACCGTTGTCAAGCAAGAGTGAAGAAAGACAGTACAGTACACATGGTACAAACTTATATACATCTAATAAGGATTACTGTTATATACCAATTTCTAAAAAATGTCAAACAAACAGTTTATCCTATATTCAACCTTTAAAGCACCCAGGGCCTTGTGATATTTCCAGTGATAATGATTATGACAGACTTCTTATGCCAATTCAGTTTAACTTCATAATTACTTGAAGCTAATAAAAGCTACAGATGGTAAGAAAATCGATTTGACATCTTTCTGAAGATGAAGAACATTTTTTTGTTCTTATGACATTGGAGTGTTTAATGCACTGAATATGGCATACCGAGAATATGAAGGTATTGAATCAAATTCTTGAAAACTGAAATGTTCGCCACTTTCAGATGTCACAAATATGAGATATTTATTATAAGAAACGGGTATTAGTATAAAACAACAGATGGTGTGAGTAGAAGATGTGAATCAACATATTTGGACATTACACATGACTGCAACCTATGTTGGTGGGTTATATTTTTATATGTATAAGATAACTACACCACAAAGACAATGAAGAACGAAGCGTTGTTATGTTTCACGATAAAACATTGTTCGAACATGTGCTTACAACTTTATGGCATTGTATCTTGGACAAGGTTATTTTTGAGTGTTGAGTGACTAGTGAGTTGTTCCCCATAGATGTAGCTGGTCAATGCAGATAAACACGATGGCTGAATGATCGCATCCAAAAGTGGGAAAGATATGACAATCGGTATTGGGAGGAAAGTTACAGGTAATCGACGTGAGGGTAGTGAGAATACGAGGGGTGTTCATTAAAGATTTCCCCTAAACCACTTAGGGTTATCATATTTGGTTGAAATTTCACATGTGTAATGATACATGTATCTATGGGTTATGTCTGAATTTGCAGCACCGAACTATTAATCTTACCACTTTTACAGGTGTTATGATCGAGTAGGGTGTGACAATGGAGCCAGTAGAATACCAAGCAGTGATTAGGTTTTTATATTTGAAAGGTCGCACACCAAAAGAAACTTTCGATGAAATGAAAGCAACTTATGGGGAAGATGCCCCATCATATGACGTTGTTAAACACTGGCATCGCCAGTTCAAGTGTGGTCGGACATCTGTGGAAACAGCTGCCATTCCTGGTCGCCCCCATTCAGCCATTGATGAGGACACTATCCATCAAGTGGAGACCACCATTTTGGCAGACCGATGTATAACTGTTCGCCAGTTAGCACAAGATGTCAAGATCAGTGTAGGGTCTGTGGAAAAAATCAACCATGACAATTTGAACATGCATAAAGTGTCTGCACGATGGATTCCCAGGTTGCTCACACCTTTCCAAAAGCAGGAACGAGTCAATTGCTCAAAGGATCTTTTGGACATGTGCCAAAAAAACCAGGCAAACTTTTTTGACAGACTTATCACACAGGATGAAACATGGGTCCATCACTATGATCCTGAGACTAAAGTTCAGTCGATGCAATGGAAGCATGTGGAGTCACCACCCCCAAAGAAGTCACGTGTCCAACCCTCTGCAGGCAAGGTCATGCTCACGGTGTTTTTGGACCAGCACGGAGTAGTGATGATGGATTTCTTGGCAAAGGGTACCACAATTACAGGAGCTTATTATGCTTCACTGCTGTGGAAATTGCGGGACGCTATCAAGCTTAAGAGGCGTTGCATCCTGACCAAGGGTGTCTGTCTCCTGCAAGACAATGCTCCAGTACCCAACTCTCATGTTGCCCAGACAGAAGTGCGGTCCTGTGGCTGTGAAATCCTTCCACATCCTCCCTACTCTCCTGACCTTGCACCATCTGACTTCCACCTCTTTCCAACCATGAAGTCATTTTTGAAGGGAAAACGTTTCACAGATGAGGAAACACTGATTTCTGAAGTCAAGTCCTGGTTTGAGACACAAAATGCGGGCTTTTACAAGCAAGGTCCCCATAGTTGCATAAAACGATGGGAGAAGTGTGTAACTCTTGGTGGTTCCTATGTGGAGAAAGACTAATACCTATGCCAAGTTTCATTCCACTAGGTCCATCGGAAGTGGGTCAGGGGAAATCTTTAATGAACACCCCTCGTATGTGGGAAATACCAACCTGTGCATAAGATGGACTTGTCCGACATTGCTTAGGTCGGATTCTATAGAGGGAGTCATCATTATTAAAAAGCCGGTAATTATTTGTAAAGCTTGTACATTTTATCATCATCCATATATAGGCTGTATATAATATTGATATCTCATATGAAAATTAAATATCTGGTGGTGGTTGTTTATTGTACAATAAAACACTGCTGGGAGAATAAACCATGAGGGGCGTAATCTTCTTATATAATCCTGTTTGTCAGTTTTATGCGATCAGTGCATAGAGCAACAATCAGGTTACATGAGCACCCCCACAAGATTGAGAAACAAGGCATGTCAACAGACTGAATGAAAACATGTCCTTAATAAGATTTTTGGATGTGCAGGGAGTATGGAATAGCTGGAGGCAGTTGTCAGGAAACGTAAGGCTTCTTGTGCCCCAAGAAGCCTGTGCAAGCTATACCCACGTCAACAGTGTTGGAAATATTTGCGAATCAAAGGTATTTTTTCTACTCCTCTTGGGAAAATAAGCTCCATTGTTTTTTACTTGTTTATGAAAACATTATGTTTGTTTGGTTACTTGGTTTCTGACCAATAACTGCTCTCGATCACTTTGTGCAAGTGACCCTGGAAGATAAAGCAATATCTATTGAAAAAACTTTCACAAAGAGCCTAATTCTAAATAATGTGAAATACAGGCTTCAAGAAAGATTTATTCTAGCGATGTAACATTTCTTACTTAAAAACATAACAGCATGCTATTTTGTGTAATATACCCTTAGTTATGAAATCCAAAAGTGTAGAAATCGGGATCAGTGATGTATAACTGTAGGTTCTGCCATGATGTACAGCGAGCTACATGGGTGCCAAGGGGGACATTTGCTGGCCATGGAGACAGTGGTATAATGTTCGCAGTTTTAATTCATCCTCAGTAACTCTCAGCAGTGTTAAGGATGAATAGATATACTATTAAAATATCAGACACATGGTGTTTATTCTAAAAGAACAAGAAATAAGATGCTGAAGTTTCTTCAACAGGATCAAAATAAACGGATATATAAAACCCAGTTGTACAGGTGTGACTTTTGGCACACTGGTGATTTTTGCTAGGTAACTGAGTAGTTCTATGGATTTCCATTAACAGGATATATATCGCCTGGCTGTACATGTTTGACTTCTGACCCACACTGGTGATGGTTGCTAGGTAACCTTGGTTGTTACATGGATCTCCATTAACAGGATATATATAGCCTGGCTGTACATGTGTGACCTCTGACCCACACTGGTGATGGTTGCTAGGTAACCTTGGTTGTTACATGGATCTCCATTAACAGGATATATATTGCCCGGCTGTACAGGTGTGACTTCTGACCCACTGGTGATGGTTGCCAGGTAACCTGCAATATTATGGGACTTTCCAGCAACAGGATATATGGCGCCAGGATGTAGACGTGACTTCTGACCCACATAGGTGATGAAAGAAAAAATATCTCTCTTTCAGTTACATAATGTACCCATATTTCACACCATTCTAATACAGGCATCAACTGCGATATTTGAGTCGATATGCGAAACATACAGATTAATTGTTTCTGTAAGAAATTGTTTCCTTGTTAACTTGGAAGGTTCTGATGATGACTCGGGTCACTCAGATGCCAATGGGTTTCATCCAAGCACCTAGTTTGGTAAATAGAATTCAAAGGTTAATATGTTGGACT